ATCGCCCTTAAATAAGAAGCAGACTGTACAACTGTTTGGATTCCATACGCTAATGATTTGGAGGGAAACGTGTTACTAAGTTGATTAAGTCAGAACTTTGTGTTACTTAAAGCAGCCCATCAATAACAATTGTTTTGTGAAAGTAATTGAAATACCTTATTATAAAATGTTAGTTTACATATTGTACTCTGCATTACCATTATGTTTTCAGCATTTATTTCTTAACAGCGTATTCCCATGACATTTCCTCTTGTAAAGTAATTTGACTCTTCCTCCCTCCCACACCCTTTTGTATTTACAAAGTTCACTTTAATCCCTCTGAGTGTATTCTGGTTAAAAACAGCATGTTGCAGTTTTAAGAAAGGGTTGTGACGTTTGGGTGGAACTCATGGACTTTGTGACAGACAGAAATAGGACACGTTTAACACACATGATTCTGATTTCGAAATCTTCTATTTTTTAATTACACAATGTATCTCAAATTATTACTGCAGGAACATTTGTGAGTCCCTTATTTGCTGTGGAGCTAAACTGCTGAGCTCTTCTTGGGAAGGTCCAGTGCCATGTATTGAGAGCTGTGTTCATCCCTCTGTTGTCCATCAGAGTACTCAAATGAGGCAGAATTACCACATACATGCGAGCAAAGGAGGTTTGTACAGAAGGAAGAAAGAAGGGAAAAGGGGCAGGGGACCTCCTGCTTACTCAAACATAGATGAAATTCTCTGGGGACATACTCTGTTTATAATGATATCAGGCTTATACATCCTATGGAAAGAAGGGTGTGTTGTTACAAAAGATTCAGAATTACTGCAGTACTGATTAGTGTTGTAGGGTAGCTAGTGGTGGTTTTTTTGTGTTTTTTTTGACACATGATGCTTATGCAGTGCAATTGCAAGGACAGGAGAACCACCAAAGCCACCAGAGACATCCCTGTGGCTGAGCTCCATCTGTGTACAGGCAGTACATCTGTCAGTACTCTCTGAAGTACACAGTATGCTTGTTATTTTCCCCTGCATACCTCCTGTGCTGAAAGGGATGCTCAGCAAAAACAAAATATGTTTGAGTGGTGGACAGTGTAGTCAGTACTGATGTGAAGATGCCTCAGCAGCACCAGAATTTCTAGAATCAGAGACAAACCTTACTTTCTTGCTGCGGTAGAATGTAAGTTCTCTGCTCCTAATGAAAATTTGACCTTAATAATCTACCCCAAAAATGAGGCAATGGGGATAGGAGGATATCAGCAGCTTCTCAGTCTTTAACTTTGGCATTGTATAGGGGTTATGTTAGTAACTTAAGGTTTTGCTTGATGCGTATCATACTAATAAATTTGTACACCTACAGAACATATTTTCCATTCTTTTTTTCTCTGACTGACCTGCTTTTATTTACAGCCTATGCATAAGTTTTGACTTAGAAGTTAAAAACTCGCTGGTTTAGCCATGAAATAAAAAGCTGCCTCAAAACCTTCTCTTACTGCTTTTATTTTATTTCTTTTTTGCCATCTTTCTACTCAGTTTCTGGTTCCTACTGTTCATTATTTACTAACTTTTTGTGCTTTAAACACTGAATGTTTTCTTACCAGAGAGCATATTTTATTTCTTCTCACCTATATTATTTTTTTCTTGTTCCTAACCTTTTCCATATGATTAATGCAAAGACCTAGTCATTTATTATGGAGCTGGGAACAGGCAGTGTTTGTGCTTGGCTAGTAAAAGCTGCAGTGTTAACATTCTCATTACAGATGATGCTGAAAGAAAATTTCTAGAGACTTTGTTGTAATAAGGATGGTTTTAATGATGTGATCAGAAGAATAAGTGAAGAGTACCATGAAGTTTGATGTGGGTGGGGAAAACTGTTATTTCAGTAGGTTTTGGGTCTTGTTGTTTCCACAAAGATATGATGCTAAGCATTATAATTTCTTTTTGAAATAATTTCTGTCATTGTAAGTGACTCTGCAATAAAACACACAAAAAAGGAGAGAGGGATGAAGTCTTAACATGTGACTGCAGGAACACATCATCTTGCGGTTAAAAATGACCAATTATTTCACTGAAATAATCTGGAAACAATTTATCTTGCTGGCTTTACTAGAAATTCAGCTTTTTTTTCTGCAGTGCATTTGAATTCCCTGAGTAGGTAGTAAAACTCAGCATGTTTTATTTAGCTTTTTTTTTTTTTTTTTTTTTTTGTGGTGAGTAAAGAATCACTGCCACAGGTGTAAAGGAGGAGCTGGCTCTGTCCTGTTTTATACTGGCAAGGTTATAGTTTCTTTTTAAATTCTGGGGTTACTAACATAAAAAAACAGTAAACAATTTGTGTGTTCTGGTTGTTGCTTATTTTGGTTTTAGGGTTGTGTGAATGGGAGCATAGATACTTTACATGATAGTAAACAGATGTCACAGAATCAAAGGATCACAGAACGGTTTGGATGACCTTGAAACCCATTCTGTTCCAATCCACTGCCATGGGCAGAGACACTTCCCACCACCTCAGGCTGCCCAGGTCCTCATCCCTCCTGCCCTTGAACATCTCCAAGTATGGGTCATCCACAGCTTCTTGTGGGCAGCCTGTGCCAGTGCCTCACCAGCTTCAACTCTCTGTTACTTCCTCATCTGTTGACTTAACCAGTCAGTTAGCTATTTCTTTACTTGATTTTGACAGGTGAGATATTATGAGGTGACTGTAAGTGATTGAGCTAACTCAGCGCACAGCAGACCAAGGTCTTGATGTCAGACGTAACTTTGAGCTAAAAGGCTTATCCAGAAGACCTAGAATTCCTCTTACTGAAAACATGCCCAAATTTATTTTCTGGCACTTGTGATCTGGGGGAAAAGTCTTATAGGAAAAGGCTTGAGACCCAACATGACTGTCTAACTGTGTTTGTGCTGAACAGAGAGCTCATGAGTGACGATGGGAAAGATTTGTTGGCAAATAATGAACTGGAGGGCAAGACGTGTAGGTGTAATGTTATAGGTGCAAACAATAAACAAGGTGAGGTCTTGGCAGAAGAAACTGGAACAAACAGTAAAGTGTTCTTTGGCTGTAAGAAGTTAAAAGTGAACAAGAAGAATGCAGAGGTGACTACTGCAAGGTCCTGCTGAGATAAAGCAACAGCTTGGAGATGATCCAGCAACTTAAGTAGCAATTTGTGTGTGCTCAAAATATGCTTATAGAAAGCTAGGTACTGATTCCATTTTAGGAAGTGAGAGAATACAGCAGATCCTCAGAAAAATCTACTTAATCAATTTTTTCAGGGATTGAGCCGCATTATTAGAGCAACGAATTTGGTAAAAGCACTTAAGAAGATGGAAAAAATAGTTGTGGTCGTTTTATATTGATAGATGACTAAGGTTCATCACGCTGCTCAGTGAAGTAGAGAGAAAAAATATAGTGAGGAAAGGCTTGTAAGGACAATGAGATCACTAATTACCTAAACAGAAAGAAAAACAGACTCAGCACAAGAAAATTAATGTAGCAGGAGGCCATAAATCAACAGATTGAAGTATTGAGAACCGAAAACAAACTAAACAAATCCCCTATGGCTGGCAGCTCCCTCAGCCCTCATGCCCCACTGTGGGTTCCTCTCCATGGGCTGCAGCTCTGGTCTGGGCAGCTCCTGCAGGGGTATCCATGGGCTGTGCATCCTTCAGCCATCATCCACTGCTGCATAGTGGGCTCCTCCATGGCTGCATGCGGAGATGTGCTCCATATGGTGCCCTTGGGCTGTAGGGGGACAGCCTGCTTCTCCATGGGCCTCTCCTGGGCTGTAGGGAACTGCTGCTTTGTGTCTTGAGCATCTCCTGTCCTCCTACGCTGACCTTGGGGGCTGCAGGGCCGCTTCTGTCCCATCTCTCACCCCTCTCTCCCAGCTGCAGTTGCACAGCACTGATTCCCCCCCTCCAATCTGCTCTCCCAGAGGTGCACCTGGCATCACTCACGGCTCAGCTCTGCCCAGCGGTGGGTCCCTATGGGAGCAGCTGGAGCTGCTCTGCTCTGACGTGGGGCAGTGCTGGGTGCTGCTCACAGAGCCACTGCTGCAGTTCCCCAGCTACCAACACCTTGTCATCTAAACCCAGTACAACAGTAAAGAGGACAGCAGTTTTGTTAGCATACTCTCAGAAGCTATGAAGTTTGTATTTTTCTTTCTTTCAAGCCTGTTCTTTCAAAAATTCCACAAGTTTTGTTCCGATTTTTAACTGCCCTTAATCACCGCACCCCTCTTTGGATAATGTCAAATTCGTTGAGGGAAGCTCTCAGGAGAAGGTCAAAGGATCTACTTTGCTTTCAAATATTGATTCTCTTCTGACTCTTTGTCTGTGGAACAGTGATGCTGAATTCTCAATAACCCATATTCCCTTGAAAAGTAATATAAATAGCCAGACAGGAGTTTTGTAGAGAGGTTTGTACCGCATGTTTCATAAGAATGAGGCCTTAAGACTTTGGAGCATTTTCCATTTTCTTACCAAGTTTTATGAGTTAAGGCTTTCATCGTGTTCCTGTTGACATCCAGAATTGCCCTTGGACTGTTATTTGAAAGCAACTTTGAGCAAGGCTTCTCTCGATTTTAGCAGAATTCTTCTGCAATCTTGACTTTCAATTTTTCACCTTAATATTTATCATTACTCTTTGGAATTTTTGTGGCTGCACTGTAATATGAGAAACTCAAGATTTTTCTTTGCAGTCTCTTTTTGCTGTCTGATGTTGTGGCTGAATGTAAAATTCTTTGTTTCGAGACTGGGCTTGGCATCTTTCAGAATAATCTGTTTGCCACATTCCTTTTAAAACGTCTTTATTTTTTTTAATACCTGACAGTGCTCAGATTCCTTTCCTCTGTACTGCTGGCCTGCTACTCACTTCGGTCTTCGTGTCATTTAATGAATACTGACTGTAGGGAAGTTCTATGTAAGAATTGTATCTTATAGCTCCAGCATCAGTCCAGTTAACAGATTTGCCTGGTCTTAAATAAAAAGGTGACCTTTTTATTGTGGTTTACTTTTCAGCTCAGTCACTGAAAGAGTTTGCACGGCTCCTGATTGCTGTAGAAGAGGAAAGGAGACGACTGGTAAGTTTGGTAGCAAAAATGTTTGCATTGGGCCTCCTTTTATATAAAATAATGCCTTTTTCCATTCATCTTGAAATGCATTTTTAATTAATTTATTTTTTTTAATTTGTGTATTACTTGAAATTGTGCAAAGGCAAAAATGTGCTAACTTAGACTTCAGCAGTTTTATATGGGTTGTTCAGCCAAATACTTTGCATCAGTCCAAAACTGTTCTCTTTTTTTTTTTTTTTTCAAAATAGGCTTTTTATGCTGCTGGACCTTTCCTTTTTCCTATTCTGCCATATTAGTCACAAGGTGCAATAAACTAAACTGTAAACAAATATATTGGAATGGAAATAAAGATCAGTACTTTGGTTTAATAAAATAATTCTTATAGTATGCACAATAGTAATCAAAATGTGATATGTTAAGAAGAAACCAGATTTATCACCTCTGAGAGATTTGTGCACAATATATTATAGAACAGGCTGTCAGATTTGTCCTTTGTTGAATTATTTGTATTCCCTTTGTTTCCATACTTAAGAGTCAACAGTATGCATTCATTTACATTTCTCTTCTGATGTAGCTTTGTTAAAGAAGTTTGAAGTGTATTCTCTTACAAGGTTTTTTTTAATAAGTTCCACGTGAATCACACAACCGTTTTTCTTCGATGTCAATCACAAATAAAGAAATTTGAAGGATTTACCTCACTAGGGGGATTTCTTAAAATATTGTACAAGATGAATCATCACAGATCTGACCTCTGACTGTGTCTGTCCTTGTTTCCCTTTCACTTATGAGTACACAGGGAGGTGAAAGATAAGATTTTCTGACTCAGATTTGGGGAAATTTATTAATCCAGGAAGAACCTTACTTAAGGCTTTCCTGTTCCTTGGAGCATAGAAGACAGAGAGTAGGTCTCCCACTACTTCCACTTATATAAATATTCTAAAGTAGCAAAATGATAAATGCTCATATGGTAGAGTTACATAGTTACTGTAATCTAAACTTATAAAAGGGTTGATGAAAATTCTGCTGATTTTAAATTTATTGTGGGTTTATTTGGAACAGAGAGAGAGATTGGGAAGGTAAGTGTTCAGAACTGACCACCTTAAAGCATTTTTACCAGGATGCATATTGATGACTCATTTAAGCAGCTTTTCAAATGAATAATTTTCCCATTTAAGTTAAAGATTATTTGAGTTAACTATGAGAAAAAGGAAATGCAATGAAAAGGTGAAGCCTTTATTTTCCAAAGCGATTAATCTTTCCCAGTATGTGTACGTAATTTCCCTTGATTTTATTCTTTATTCTTTTTCACTTTTTTCACTTTTAGAAGTATCTGGCCTCCGTGTATTTTACAATTTGATATTATTGAAGTGTTTTACTTGTTTATCTTGTAGAAAAGCCATTAGAGGGGAAACAAAACCCCTAATGTTCTTAAGTGAAAAAGAAACAGTCAGATAGATACTTGTCATTTTTTTTTTTGCTGTGAATTCAGTGAGTATGCATGAATTGAATTGCTGAGCTGTTGGATCCCATTGCAGGGTCAGAGACTCGGGTAAGATTTCAGTCTTATGGAAAAATATTTTGCAAGTTGCTACAGATTTAGTAGAATGCAGTCATCAAATCACTGTAAACCAAGTAGAAAATAGATCATAAATACTCTGGACTTGATGGGAAATCATCCACATCCAGCATTTTGAAGGGTTTGAAAACAGTACCATTCTTTTTCTTCAAACTGAATGCACATGCTGAGGTATTCTTGAACATACAGATATGTCAGTGATACTTGCATAGGAGAATTCAGCAAATCGGATTTGTCAAATTTGACAAAATTTTGGTCTTCCTGTTGCTAGAATTCACTTAATTATTCTTGCATTGAATCTTCCTAAAATAGTTGGTCATGTTAGAGAGACTCCAAGGCTTGAGAAAATTACTTGCAGGATAAAACCAAATTGTCTAGATTGCTACATAGCTTTTGTGCTCAATCTATTCTTCATGGGTAAATTTCAGAGGTGAAAAAGACAGTTTGCTCTTTGTTTATTTATTTTATAAGTTTATGCTCAGCATAAACCGTGATGGCGTTTATATCATATTTTCTACTGCATGTAGTATACCTGGGCTGTATTATTTGTTCTGCCCTTGATCACCAAGTTCTAAATACTCTGCAGAAGTAGCTAAAACTTTGCTGATGTTCTGGCAATCCAAAAAGGGCCACCTTTGTCCAAGATGCTTAAGATATTTGTGGTTCTCCAAGTCTCTTCTTACTGCGGTTTTGTGCATCATGGAATCCAGAGGTCTCTGTTAGAATAGCGTGCCAGATGCTGAACAGATAGCAACAGGTAGCTGAACAGATAGGAATTTTCTTGTTCAGAACTTTATGATTTAACTATGAAATCTTCAAAACATTTCTTGACTATTTCTGAGAAAGTCTGAGGCAGTGTGTGTACGCTTTGATTCCTCAGCTGGAATCTTTTTAAGCCAGCAGCCTGCAGAATAGTGATGATTTCAGAAAAGGTTGTCAGCTGACTAGTGAGCTTCAGCCAAGGCATGTGGGACTTCTAGCACTTGATTTCCTTTGTTTTTGCACGAAAAGAGAATACTTGCAAAAGTAACTATAAATATGAAATATAGCTTGCTCTTTTTGATGTTTCTTGTGAAAGAGTTGGAATAAAACAACTAGTCAGAGTAATGACTGTTTATAGGCAAACTTATTCATGCCATGTACAACAGCCTTCTGATCCTTGAAGTGTGTGACAGTAAAAGACTGTTCTATCAGCTAATGCTGAATGTAGAGCAGTATGGATTGACAGATGTTAAATTTACTTACTAGCTAATGATTTTGTTTTCTTACTTTGAATTTGATGTATTTACGATCCTGGCAAGTGTGCATATAAGAGCATAAATTAGATTTGAATGTGGAAAGTGCAGATTGATATTATTAGTTTATTTTTCATCTGAATAGCTTTGGTAACTGCCTGTTAAATTCTTTAGAGAGAAAATTGGTTTTGTTTCAGTGAGTGCAGATAGTGCAAGCGTTGGAATGCTTGCCCACTGAACACAATTCTTTCCAATGGTCTAGAAAATAGCTTGAGGAATGCTTAGCAACTCATTCTTTCTTAAATGAATGACTGAAAAGAACTTGGTTTTGTTTTCTTTGGAAGGAACTAATGAAACAAGGTAATGTGGACAGTGTTATTTGGAAAAAACATAGAAGTATAAGATGAAATATTACTGTGTGATATATAAATAAATACTCTGTTTCCTAAAGCTTTGCAGCCATTATTATTGGTAGCAGTAATAAATTGGTGATCATTGTGGGTAAATTTCTCATGTCTGCGGTTTTATTTGCTGATGCAGATGAACCGCAGTCTTAGAAAAAACAGTGATTGTGCACCAAATACTTCCTCTTAGAATGTAATTGGAGGAAACAGTAACTTGTTAGACACCTTTTATAATACACAACATTGCTGTATGTCATTCCACATTGTTAATCTCCTGACGCTGTTGACAAATGCTGGGTTCTGACTTCTGGGATTTACAAGCAGTGTACCAATGGAATAAGAAGTCAGAGCTATCCCTGCTGCCTTTCCAATGTTTTCAGGAGCAAGCCAGCAAGGAATGTAACATAATGGCCTCTATTTCCTACTGATTATTAGGGAACAATAGAGATTTGCAAGAATCTAACTTGATGTGAATGTTTTGGTCTATATCAGGGGGATGTACTTAAAATAATTTCCTTCTGCTCTTGTTGAATTTGCACTGTTTTTGCTTAAGTAAATGATACACTTTTTATTTTAGGTATTCTGGCATTATTTATATTTCCTATTCATTTGATACTGTTGGTAAAATATATAACAAACAGAAATGTACTGGGACTAATATAAAATAATAATTCCTGTTTCTGTCATATAATTAATGCTGGAGGCATTCAAGGCCAGGCTGGATGTGGCTCTGGGCAGGCTGCCTTGTCTGGTGGTTGGCAACCCTGCACATAGCAGGGGGGTTGAAACTCGATGATCACTGTGGTCCTTTTCAATCCATTCTATGATTCTATGGTATTATTGGGAGCTTACCATTGGAGTTACCATTGCCAAATCCTGCTGTCTTCACAGATGACACCTTATTTCTCTGCCTGGAAGTAGACAGGAGGGGTTTGTGTGAAGAGCAGGACGCCAGCACTGCATCAGCGGGTTATGTCCTAGTTGTCTGGTGCCATTTGGGCAAGGGAAGTCGGGATCTAAAGGATTAGTCTGAGGGAAATGTCTATTAGTCCGACCTAGATTTGTGTTCTGAAATAAGTGGAGAGAAACTGACACCTTTCAGATATGCTGTAGCCAAAAGTAAATGTTTAAAAAGCTGAAAATAATGCACTGACATTGTATGTTTTTCTTTGTTAGTTTTTACCTTCTAGATAATTTAGGTGAATCTTCAGTCTTTGTCGAACGCTTATTTCTTCCGTTTTTGTTTAGTGATTAACTTTTTGCTTATGTTTTTCATCTGAAAAAAAATATTGTGTGTCCTTACCATATATAATATGAATTCTAATTTTTAAAGCATATAATACTTTGTTGTTCAGGTTTGTGCCTCTCAGCCTTGGGAATTGTTGCTGAAGAGAAAGGATTGAATATCAGCAAATTGTGATTTTCTGCTGTGTTTTCACTGTGGAATGCTTGGAGTAACAGCTACAAAAACTCCTCTCTCATGAATGGCTCTCAGAACCAGATTTCAGACCCAAATCTGCGTCAGCTTCCTGTCTGAACTACTGTCAGTGTAAAAAAAAAAAAATGGGGGGGAACTGGAGCAACAGCTAGAAAAATGCTTTTGTGTTCATATTATTTTATTATTTGTAGAGTATTTCTTGAATCATTTAAGAAGTCAAGTCTACTCTGTTGAGTTGGTTCAAGTGTTGGTCTGAGTGTGTAGTGAACATAGTTGGAGAAGTGATCCAGCTGGAAAAATAATTCCTTTGACCCTGACTTTCTATTGACTACTTCCCCTCACTTCAGCTCATTCAA